TTGTAGCTATGGATAAAACAGTTTATGCAGAATAAATGATACAGACTCTAGTAGATTTGGATACTTATATGATTAGAACTAAGGATCATACAGAAACACCGACATCGAGACTTAAGTGTTACCTACATCAGTATATTAGTAGTGGAGAACTGGATAAATGAAAAATGAACAAACTTCGAATGCATATGGTCAGCCTAAAATTCACAAAACGTGGCCGCTTTGCAGCACAATAATTATATCTTAGACACAGCAATTTACAGTCTATTAACTAGGTCTCAATGAAGCCAAGCCCAAAACAAAGTATAATGTTCAAATCGAGTTTAATGACGATAAGAGGATGACTGTCGTTGATATACCAATTAGTAGGTACCTATACGCAAAAATAAACAACGGCCACTAAAAAGGGCGAATTCTGCTAAATTTTGTGCTTTTATGTACTTAAAAAAGCCTCATTTTCCCAAGATTCACTTGAATAGATTGCTGACACGAAATGACTTTGATGCTCCAGCGTCTTGACCTCTTAAGATAATCAAAATAAAACAGATGTGCCCTACAAGCGAAATTCGTTAACCTTTTTGAGTTGCACAACCTTCATTAAAACAATTCAAAACCTACTGATGTAGGCCGATCCATCTGACATGAATCGACTGTTTCTGTGTGATTACATACATCATTTGGCGACCGGGTGTCAATTTCAGAATGATAAATTGTAGCGACACTTGATCCAATATCAGCAGCTTCAGAATTCGAAGTTCCTAAGGCTGGATTAAATGGTTCGGACTCCAGTTTACGAGGTGGGGGAGAAGGTGAAGTAGGAATTATCGAGTCCTTCAGTGAAGATGGAGGTCCCGCAGCCATGCCCGGGGTAGGTATGGGGGAGCTCATGCGATTTGATTCCAAATGAGAAGCAAGTTGTGAATGAGGCAGCGATTGAGGCTGATGATGAATCTGCTTCTCGGGTCCCATTGGAACATTTGACTGCGAAATTGAGATCTGATCCTTTAACTGTTGCTGTTGATGTAGATTAGACTGCAATTGGGTCAGAATCATTTGTTGCCTAGATTGGTCACGCTTTTGGCATGATGTAGGTGTTAAATTAGGATGAAATGTGTGTGAATGGGGTGCAACGGTGTCGATGGCTTCAAGCGGAAGGCGTCTGGAAGTGGTAAAAAATCAATTACTTAAAACAATATTTAGTACAAAGAATTAGAAAAATAAATAGATGTAAGGAAAATAAAGTAGGAAAAAGGAGT